CATGGTTCTCTCTGATCATGGATGTTTCTCTCTCCCTCCCTCTCCCTTCCTCTCCCTTCCTCTCTGAAATCAATACAAATAAATCAAAAGAGGGTGTGGGTCCCCAGGAGGCTGGTAGAATTTCAGATGTGACAGCGTGAAGGGAGAGACGCGTAGGAATAGACTAATCTTGTCTCCGCGTCCGCCCCCTCGTGCCGCCTCTGCCAGGCGAGCCCAGGGTTGGGTCACACCTTACCTTCTGCCCCCCTCTGGGTGTCCGTCGTTGTTTGCAAGACACAGGACAAGGGACGCAAAGAAGGTGGGGAAGCTGGGCCCCTAGAGGGTTGATCTGGAACAGGGACCCTGGGCCCGGCTGGTGTGGCTCAGTGGATAGCGCGCCCATCCGTGAAATCAAGGAGCTGCTGGTTCCATTCCCCGGGTTGCGGGCTCGGTCCCCAGTAGGGGGCGTGCAGGAGGCAGCCGGTCCATGATTCTCCCCCAGCTAAAGGGTGTCCCAAAATTCACGCAAGAAGTAATTTTGAGAGAAATACAGGTTTATCATTAAAAATTGTAAATTTTTTTATTGATTCATAAAGGAGACAGCCTAGGGTTATGTGTGGAATAGCCCATCAGGTCCATGGCCTCCCCGGCTTTGCTGGCACAGACGCAAAGCCGCGGTCTCCATTGGTCTTCACTGTCCCGGCTCCTGGGCCGTCATTGGTCCTTGGTGACGCTCATCCAATGGAAGGGACTGACATCCAAGGGCAACAGATATGAGAATCTGAGTCAATCAACCGAGTCAAATCAGACTTTTGTTTGTTGTTGTTAATGCTCACGCAGAATCCAAATCTTGCCTGAATTTCGGGACGCCCTTTATAATAATGAAAGTGTAATATGCTCATTAGACTGGACATCCTTCTGGACATCCTTCGCGACGACCTTCCGGATGAAGCCAGGGCTGCGAGGGAAGCCGGGGCCGGCAGTTGGGGGAAGGAAGGCCCCCTCTTGCACGGGCCTCTAGTCATTAATGTATCTCTCTCTGCCTCTCCTTCCTCTCTGAAAT